CAACAAAATTGTTGCGGTGGTCGGGGACGGAAACTTTCATGTTGTTTCAATTATTAAAGGGAACATCTGCGAAACCAAAGTTCAAACCAAAACAGAAGAACACTTTCGAGCTGTGTCTAATTACCTGCAGGAAGCAAAAAAGAGCTTTTACACCTACCAACTAAAAAGCAGCAAGGGACTGCAAGTAGTGCTGAAAGGAATTGAACCAGATGTCGCCCCCTCCGAGATACTAGAAGCCCTGAAAGGCAAGGGTTTCTTTGCCAAGAATGTTAGCAACATTATCAACAAAAACAAAAAGCCGCAACCTCTTTTCAAAGTCGAACTTGAGCCAGACAGTAAAGCCCTAAAGAAGAATGAAGTTCACCCGATCTACAAGTTGCAGTTCCTACTGCATCGAAGAATCACCGTGGAAGAACCTCACAAACGCAACGGTCCTGTGCAATGCACAAATTGCCAGGAGTATGGTCATACAAGGACATACTGCACCCTTCGGTCAGTCTGCGTAGTCTGTGAAGACTTCCACAACTCCGCACACTGCCCTGCGAACAAAGAAGACCCAAACAAGAAAAAATGCGGAAACTGTGGAGGAAATCACACAGCTAACTACAGAGGCTGCGTGGTCTACAAGGAGCTGAAGAGTCGCATGCGAAGGGCGACAGCTACACGCCAACAAAATACACAAAATGTGTATTTTAATTCAAAAACTACTCCAGATGTATTTTTTGCCAAAGCAGCCAGATCTTCTTTTGGTCCGCTAAATGCCCCCACGGGCATCTCCTACGCCGAAGCTCTACGGACAGGTATGCAAAATCCACTCCCCTCAAACTCAATAAATGCTCAGCAGGCCCCAGAGCAGCCACGAAACAACATGGAATCCATGATGGTGACCATGCAACAAAGCATGATGGAACTCATGTCATTTATGAAAACGACCATGCAAACGCTCGTCCAGAATCAGAATATGGTGATACAGCTGCTCGTAGCACAACAGTCAAAATAATCAATGTCCAATCTACGTATATCCACGTGGAATGCCAATGGCGTCTCACGGCATAAACTTGAACTAACACAATTTCTAAACGAAAACCATATCGACGCCATGCTACTGGTTGAAACGCACCTCACAAGCAGATATAACTTTCATATAAGAGGTTATACCTTCTACCGCACAGATCATCCAGATGGTAAAGCCCACGGCGGGACCGGCATCCTTATCAGAGAACGCATCAAACACCACTTCCACCAAAGGTTTGCAACAAATTACCTGCAAGCTACGTCCATAAAAGTGCAGTCAGGTAACGGCAACCTTTGCATTGCTGCTGTCTACTGCCCACCTCGCTTTGCAATCTCTGAAGGTCAATTCATGGATTTTTACAACTCACTTGGAGATCGATTTATAGCTGCAGGAGATTACAACGCCAAGCATACGCATTGGGGATCCCGCCTCGTGACCCCCAAGGGAAGACAACTGTACAACGCTCTCATCAATGTGAGAAATAAGCTGGACTACGTTTCCCCTGGTAGCCCCACATATTGGCCAGCAGACCCCAGAAAGATACCCGACCTAATTGACTTCGCGGTGACAAAAAACATCCCACGAAATTTAATAAACGCCAAGGCCCTTCCAGACCTTTCTTCAGATCACTCGCCGCTGTTGATAACCCTCCTTCAAAGCCCAGAAACTACGGATCGCCCCTATAGGCTGACGTCGCACAGAACCAATTGGATGAAATACAAAAAGTATGTGAGTTCCCACATTGAGCTAGCCCCCCAGCTCAATACTGAAACCGACATCGACTCCTCCACCTCCGCACTGGAAGAGGTACTTGTGACTGCAGCCAGAATCTCAACACCACAACAGACGGATGTGCAAAAAATCAAATTCAAAACGAACCAGCAAATTGAACAGCTTATCCAAGAAAAGAGGCGTCTGCGACGGGCGTGGCAAACCAATAGATCGCCATGCACAAAGCAACGTCTAAATGAAGCCACGCAAACTAAGCCGGGCCCTGAAGCAAGATGCCGAAAAAGCACAATTAAGATATATTGAAAAACTCTCGCCAACCAGCACAAAGCATCCCTTATGGAGAGCTCACCCAAATTTAAGCTCACCGGCTGAAACCATCACCCCGATAAGAATGTCATCTGGTTGCTGGGCCCGCAGCGACAAAGACAGAGCCGAAACTTTTGCCTCACATCTCCAGGGCGTTTTCCAGCCGAACCCTGCTGCAAATCCATTTGATCTACCGCAAATCCACACTGAAACGGAATCTACTCCAGCATCATTTCGTCCGAACGAGATAACGAAGGTCATCAGGGAACTGAAGCCGAAAAAGGCTCCCGGCGTTGACCTAATAACTCAAAAAATGATAATTGAACTTCCGAATTGTGCTATTGAGGTCATCTGTAAAATCTTCAATGGGATCATAAGTCTCGGCCATTACCCAACAAAATGGAAAAAATCTATAATTATAATGATACCGAAGCCCGGAAAAGACCACACGATTCCGTCATCTTACCGACCAATAAGTCTACTATCATGCTTGTCCAAATTATTTGAAAAATGCCTACTAAAGCGCATAATCCCTTATCTGGGAGCTCACAACATTATCCCAGCTCATCAATTTGGCTTCAGAGAAAAACATGGAACTATCGAGCAAGTTAACAGAATAACATCAGAAATTCGCACAGCCTTCGAGCATCGAGAATATTGCAGCGCGATATTTCTCGACGTTTCTCAAGCATTCGACCGCGTCTGGCTCAACGGCCTCATGCACAAAATAAAAACACTCTTGCCGGTATACACACACAAATTACTTGAGTCGTATCTCTACAACAGAGTCTTCGCAGTGAGGTGCAACGCAACAACATCCGGCACCTATTCAATCGAAGCTGGAGTCCCACAAGGAAGTGCACTTGGGCCTACCCTATTTGTTCTATACACAGCGGATATCCCCACAAGCGACCAGCTAACATTATCCACTTTCGCTGATGACACTGCGATCCTCAGCCGTTCCAGATGCCCAGTCCGTGCAACAGCCCAGCTCGCCAACCACCTCAAGGTAGTCGAGAAGTGGCTATCTGATTGGCGTATTAAAATAAATGAACAAAAGTGTAAGCACATAACGTTCACCCTCAACAGACAAACATGCCCCCCGCTCTACCTGAACAGCACACTGATCCCCGAAGTCAACGTGGTAACGTACCTGGGCGTCCACCTGGACAGACGCCTAACATGGCGAAGACATATTGAATGCAAGAAACTTCATCTAAAACTAAAAGCCAGCAGCCTCCACTGGCTCATAAACTCCCGATCGCCCCTGTGTCTGGACTACAAGGTCCTGCTCTACAACTCCACACTAAAGCCAATATGGACGTATGGCTCCCAGCTCTGGGGGAACGCGTGCAGTATCAATCTAGACATCATACAGCGCGCCCAATCAAAAATCCTGAGAACTATCACTGGGGCACCATGGTATATTCGCAACGAAAACATCCACAGGGATCTCGGCATTCCTGCAGTTAAGAACGAAATAGAAAAACAAAAAGCGTCCTACAAGGAAAAACTCTCCACCCATCCAAATCCTTTAGCAAGGGACTTGATACAAGTTTCCAGAAGAAGCCGCCTACTACGTAACGACCATCCAACCCAGCCATAATTATTCAGGGCCATTTACTCTGTACCAGTCTCATGACTGCTAGTTAGGTAGTATTGTAAGATTTGATACACTTATTGTTAGTCTCATAAATGAGAAGATTCAATAAATAAAAGCAAAGCCTAAAAAAAAAAAAAAAAAAAAAAAAAAACAAACATTCACTTTTAATATATACTGAATCCAAAAAAATATATATATATTTTTTTTTAATTTGGGCACTAGAGGGTTAATTAAATTATGCGTTCAAATTAAAAAAAAGATTGCCGTTACAAGATACGTTTCTTAATATGCTTAGTTTTTAAGATCCAAAAGATTTTAATAATAATAATAATTACAACTCATTGTTAAAGTTTTACGAACGTTTAACTAAGTTTGTTAATGATTCACTGGCGCTAGACAATAAGTATCGTACTATGAAAACAGACGACAAAGTAAAAATTCTTTTAGATAAAAATCTACATTGCGATACATCCTGGTATGAATTGGGCCAAACTAAAGATATAAACAATTGATTGGAATATTCAAATATATAGAAGTTTGCGCAACCAATGTTAATTTTGCCAGTGTCAAATGCGCCTTGCGAACGCATATTTTCTCAAATAAATTTGACAAAAACAAGAGGTCGAAACCAGTTTAAAAATGAAAATGCGTCAAACATATTACACATTAAACACATTGTGCGAAAGCGGATGCAATATTTTAAGCCTGATTTAAAAATTATAAATCGAGATGTTGGAAATTGCAATAGCTCTGATGAAGAAAATTAAATTGAAGAATAGAAAATAAAAATGAAAGACATATAATGTTCCTTGTTTTGTTATTATCTGTTAAATCTTTTGTTAAAATAGTATATAAGTAAATGATAATCAAATTATTTTTAAGGACATTGATAAATTTTAGAATTTGAAACTAAATATTGACTGAATTGAAATGTGAATTAAAAACTTAGAACGTATTTAATTAAATTAGTAAATAAATAACCGATGCTCAACGTTTTTTAAATATATTTGTATACGAAGATCAAATATTCAGGCGTTTTAACTTAAATTTTTAATGGTATTTTAGTAGTATATTTTGAAATATGAAATAGTATATCCCAGTATATTTTTGAGGGATAAATGGTACATTTCGATCAGTCCGGCGCGGTCACGCTGCATTTCATATTTTTGCAACGCTATTTGTTCGAGAGGCGCTACTGTGCGACGGTAATATATTGACTAATAGACATATATTATATATTACACTGAGTGTAAAATATTAAAAGATATGTTTGATGTTAAAATGAATGTTTTGATTTCGAAATTAAAAATACATCAAAAAATTTATGTATATGTATGTACTTACATATAGTACTATGCAGCATTGAATGAAATCATCAAAAAGAATTGTTCCACGGCCAAAACGATCAAATTTTCGGAGTAAAATATCAACAAGGTTGTCAGATAAACGATACCCAAACGAAGTCAAAGCTGTTTTCAACTCATTTTTGTCTATGTTTCCAGAGTTGTCGCGGTCGAAAGACCTAAAACAGTTTTGCCAATCCGTCACGTATTTCCACAACGCTCCAAAGTCTTGAAATGATACGGTTCCCCCATTTTCTCGGTCAAACATTCCAATCATCAAGCGAATAGTTTCGGGATTAAACGCAGACCATGTTCCATTAGAAAGAGCCACTTGTAGCTCATCGGCAGATATATGGCCACTTTTGTCTTTGTCCACTCTAAATAAAACGACATATGCATGTGTCTTTGTACATATTTATCATATCCCGTTTGAAAAAAACTCTCCTACCTTTGAAACACGTCCCAAAGAAATTGTTGATCAGGCATCCAATCTTTATTGTTTGACATCTTTACAAAGGAAAACCGCTTGCTAGGTATCTTTACTAAAATGCACAGTTTTCTGACTCATGCCTTTTCGATTATTATTACCAGAACAAATCGTATGAGTAATATCATATTTCCACAAAGCTCGAAATCAAGTGGTTTAATCGATTTAAGACGATTCTTCCTCGATCTGGAAATAAATTAATTTTTAGAACATTTGTTATAAATATAAATCGAGTAAGTGAAATATTGAAATAATAAAATTTTAAAACGGGCCGGTACCAATCACGTTGCCGTTTTGGTGGAAAGCCTATTGTGTCTAACCACAACAACATATAGACTAGTCATTTCATACAACGAAAATGGACACAAAAATTTCTTAGCGATAGGCCCCCTGTTAGATTTTAGCTGTTATACGGTCTTCCCACACAGCACATTTGTGAGGAACGTTTGGGATTTTTCACAAATGTGATACTCGTGTTCCCACACAACATTAAAGCACATTTAACATCCGAACAGCTGATCGATCAGCTGTGGCTCATGAAAACGTAAACAAAGGCTGTCGAATTGGCAGTTGCAAATTTGAAATGGAGCATTTACCAACTATTTTGGCTGTTGTACAACAGCAAAATGCACAGATTGCGTCAGAATTTATCCGCACTAAATTTAAATGAATTAAATGACAAGGAATTTTAGTTTTTCTAATGATTTTTCTCTAACAAAGAGCAAATTCCCCGAAGAGTGTGTATAAGTGGTATAGGCATCCAAAATCTTTAAAATAAGGTAGAGGTAGGCGGTTTATATTAAATAGTAACAATTGGGGACATATTGGGGCAAGAATATACAGAAAAAACGCCAACAACTATTTGGGCATGCTTGTAGCTTTGGCGCCACGTTTTAAATTCAATATCTCATTTGTTCCTCGCCAAGTGCGTATACACTTTCGTAGTGATGGTCAAATTTTCAGAGTTGCACCGAAAAACTATCGGCTAACTATCGCCAAACAAACCGTGGTTAGATTTTAATGTTGAACTAACGCCGGTCCATATGGGAAAATTCGGAACGGCAAAACCTTATGGAGCATTTGTTCAACGGATGTTGAATGCGCTTTAATGTTGTGTGGGAAGACCCTATTAGCGACGGGCCAGTTGTTAACTTATGTATGCGTGTTCACGCATTCACGTACACGGGTGCATGTGTGCGATCATTTCATTTCGTCCCAGCAAGAATATTTGGTCTTTTGCTACTTTTCGCGCTAGGTACCCTAACAATATGGGCTGCTGGCGACTTCCTTCGATGAACCAATCGCGTCTTGGCAGCGGTAATCTAATCTATATGACAATTAGGCATGCCCCAGTCAGAAAAACCAATTTATTTGCAGATTTTTTAATGAGGACTCATCTTGCACTATTAAGCGGAAAATCGGGTATGTTTGGGAACTCAACACTCAGATGCTGCCGCCTTGCCGTTTTCCATTTTCTCTCCCTTTTGGGTCTCGGCCGCACTGCACTGCTGCTGCGCACTCTGGATCGCGTGAAAGATGAAATGGGAAGGATCGAATCCGACGCCAGCTTTCTGGCGGAAACGTCACTTCCGAGTCTAAAAGGAGAAGAAGAAGGAGATGTGCCCCAGTGCAGGTTGACATTTCCCTCTTTTACTCTCCTTTCCCTTTCTACCTTTCACCCTTCTAGAGCTAGAGGACCTGCAAACCAACTCCCATGCCACAAGCGCAACATAATGTAAGAATGAAATGCAAAGTTAATGTAAATAATATGAAATATTTAAGCTGAACTTTCATATGTTTCTTGTTGTTGTTTAGCTTTGCTCACTAGTTTTATTAGCTTTTAATAACGAGCAGCATCGATGTATGCTTCATCATATTGTCATATCATATGGTCTTAAATAAAAAAGTTGTATGTTATTTTTATACCCTTGCAGGGTATTATAATTTCAGTCAGAAGTTTGCAACGCAGTGAAGGAGACGTTTCCGACCCTAAAGAGTATATATATTCTTGATCAGCATCAACAGCCGAGTCGATCTAACCATGTCCGTCTGTCCGTCCGTCTGTCCGTCTGTCCGTTTCTACGCAAACTAGTCCCTCAGTTTTAAAGCTATCTGAATGAAACTTTGCATATAGTCTTCTATATACTCTCGCTGCTATATATGTCGAAACGGGCCGGATCGGACGACTATATCATATAGCTGCCATACAAATGTTCGATAAATAAAAAAAAAAAAATTATGACTGCTGTTTTTTAACATTTTTGCACCATTTTTTATATTATTTCTGAATTTTGTTAAAAATTTTATAAAATTCGGACGACTATATCTTATAGCTGCCATAGAAACGATCGGGAAATTAATAGGAAACAAATTATAACTTCGTTGTTTTTTCAACGTATTTTCATCTACTCTGAGATATAAGCTTATTTTATTATTATAGAATTTTGGTATAAATTTCATGAAAATCGGACAACTACTATATCATATAGCTGCCATAGGAGCGATTGGTAGATGTAGAGAAAATGTAAAGGTGTGAATGTAAAACGGTGACTGTCAAACTGTAACTGTCAAACTGTAAACATAATAAGTATAGGTAAAATTTAATGAAATAATATCTGCAAGGGTATACAAACTTCGGCGTGCCGAAGTTAGCTTCCTTTTTTGTTTATTATATTGTAACAAAATCACAAGCTGATTGAAATTATGTCATACGTTCAAAGTCTCATGCTTCCTTTTGTTTGCAGTTGCAATAACTCGTAAATTCCCCTAGAACCAAGAGGTAGGAGAGTCTCAAAGTTGTTATGTTTATTACTTCTACATATGAATTAGAGCTAGAAAAACATCGATGTTGGCCACAATCGATGTTTTCATCCGGATGAAAAAATCGATTATAATCGATTATCGTAAAATAAACGAATATTTTTTTGCCGTTTAAATTAATTTATTTAATTGAGATCAAATAGGAAGTTATTTTTGTTTAAAAACTATTATTATTATTATTAACTATTTTAGGTTTAAGGGAGCTACGGCGCTCATTATCACCAGCTTTGCTGAAGGTCCTCTAGGACGCCGTGGAAGATGCTGGAACGCAAAAGTATTGTTTTGCAATACTTTTCATGGCGTCCTGTATTCAAAGAAATAAGTGTTAATTAGTTAACCCTCTAGTGCCCAAATTTTTTGGAAAAAATTTTACTTTTGTTATTATAAATGTCATTGAGACTGTCAGCAACACAGTACAATTTTTTGTTCTAATTTATTTCCAATTTTTAAAAAAAGGAATACATGTTGTATTTCCTACAAAAAAATTATTTTGTCCGATTTGCACAAATTTTCAACTTCAAATGAATACAGCAGCTTGCGCTAGCTCTAGTATGTATTCCAAACGCAACGAACTTAATTTTTGGACTTTCCTGAATTAGAAAAAACTGAAAACCGTGTGAAAAGGAATGAAAATAATTAAATAACGGTGTTTTTAACATTGCCCGCCTAGAGGCGGTCTTGGGCACTAGAGGGTTAATTAAAGAATGAATGTACATATATGTACACGAATGTGAAGAAGGGAGAATACATACACATGCATGCATGCAAGTTTATTCGCACTCACACATATACATTTACATATACATACATGCGTATGCATTTTGCACAAAATTTTATATAATTCAGTTTACTTACTTTTAATGAACTTGTCCATTACGCAAGCACTTTGCACCAACACCACCAATATTGTTCACTATAAAATCACTATAAATTCAAGAAATATAGATTAGTTTTTGTAAAAATTGTTTTTTTCGCTTGCAAGTGACGATAATCGATGTTTTCAAAAAACAATCGATGTTGGAAATATTTTTGGCAACATCGATAACATCGATGTTACAGCGATGTTTTTTCCAGCTCTAATATGAATACATTGCTACACATCCACCGACGCACAGTAGCGCCTCTCGAACAATTAGCGGTGCAAAAATCGAAAAAGTCTTGTTCGCAAAAACGATTTTAACCATACTTATTCGAAAGGAAATTTCCCAAAGATTCAGAATCTGGTATAAAATCAATTTTAAGATTTTTTTTAGAAGATTGAGCATTGAACTTTCTTTCGGTTTTTGCATCATTAAAAACAAGAAAGGAAGCTAACTTCGGCACACCGATGTTTTTATACCCTTGCAGATTGGTTTTCATATTTATATTATAAATTTAAATGTTGAAAACACACACAAAACAGAGTTTCATTACATTTTACCTTTACTTACAGTTTCACAGTTACAGTTTTACATTCACAGCTTTACATTTTCTCTACATCTACTGATCGCTCCAATGGCAGCTATATGGTATAGTTGCCCGATTTTTATGAAATTTATACCAAAACTCTAAAATAATAAAAAAAAAAGCTCATATCTCAGAGTAGATGAAAATGCGTTAAAAATCACCGAAGTTAAAATTTTTTTCCAATTAATTTCCTGATCGTTCCTATGGCAGCTATAAGATATAGTCGTCCGATTTTCATCAAATTTTAATCAAAATTCTGGAATAATATAAAATGGCCATATCCCAAAAATGATGTTATAATTTTTTTTCTAAAAATTTATCGAACATTTGTATGGCAGCTGTATGATATAGTCGTCCGATCCGGCCCGTTCCGACATATATAGCAGTGAGAGTATATAGAAGACTATATGCAGAGTTTCATTCAGATAGCTTTAAAACTGAGGACTAGTTTGCGTAGAAACGGACAGACGGACGGACAGACGGACATGGCTAGATCGACTCGGCTGTTGATGCTGATCAAAAATATATATACTTTATAGGGTCGGAAAGGTCTCCTTCACTGCGTTGCAAACTTCTGACTGTAATTATAATTGCCCATCGAACCCGTCTGAGGGCGGAGTATGGGAGCGGATGGTGCAGTGCGTCAAGCGAGTGCTGCGCCATACATTGAAGGAAGTCGCGCCGAAGGATCATGTGTTGGAGAGTTTCCTGATCTAGGCGGAGAATGTGGTTAACTCGCGTCCGCTTACTGACTTGCCGGTGGATGCGGACCAAGAGGCGCCGTTGACGCCAAACGACCTGCTCAAGGGAGCAGCTAACCTGCTGAATACGCCTGGTTTGGATGCGGAGCTGCCCAAGGAGGGTTCTACGCGAAAGCAGTGGAGGATTGCTCGCATGCTGCGAGAGCGTTTCTGGAGGAGGTGGGTCCTGGAGTACCTGCCTACGCTTGTGCGCCGCAAGAAGTGGTGCCGGAGATCGGAGCCCATCCGATATGGTCTTCGTCTGCGATCCTGCCTTGCCCAGACGAAAGTGGTGCAAGGGCATCGTGGAGGAGGTCTACAGCGGATCTGATGGAGTCGTAGACGCGCCAGTGTGCGCGTGAACGACAATATCTCGGACAATGTTGCGGCCTGTCTCGAAACTTGCAGTTTTGGATTTGAGTGAAGCGGTTCTTCACGGTGTCGGGGATGTCGACGGCCAAACATTGTAATCGATAGGTAGAAATAAGTGTTGTAAGGAAATTCTAGTATTTTATTAAATATTCGATCTTGTGTGAATTTCTTGGCCCCTGAAGTATTGGCCTACTAATATCGGTGCTGTGAATGCCGCCAAATGGTGCTTTTTCATTGTCTTGTGAATTGTAGGAGTACACACTACGGTAAGCTTAAGCACTAACCATATAGCATATAGATTGGCCATTTCATACAACGAAAATGGAACCAAAAATTTTTTAGCGACAGGCCCCAGAGACTTCGTGTGCGCCCGAAGCTACAGGCCCCGTAGCTTCGTGTGCGCTCGGGTTTTCGCTCTCTCAGTCTTATGCTCGCAAACTGGTTGCGAGAGTTCAGTCGCAGAGTGGCGCATGTTGAGAAGGTTGCTCTGCGCTTGAACTCTTCTTTATATGTATGCGTGTTTATGCATTCACGTACACGGGAGCATGTGCGCGATCATTTCATTTCGGTCCAGCAAGAATATTTTGTCTTTTGCTAGTTTTTGCGCTGGGTACCCTAACGATATGGGCATATTCACTACTGGGTTAATTGTAAAAATAAGAATGTTATATGTTATAATATATTTCTTACTTTTGCACCAATAAATCATTAAAAAAAAAAAATAATAATAATAATATATTTCTTAATGTTTCAGCATACATTTTAAATTATTTATTCTTACATTTCATATTAATAATAATATATATAACGGAGAAGGAGTATTTTCTGGTTCTGCCATACCGATAGCACAGTCAGTCCCGATCGCGCCAAGAGCCAAATTCAAATGTGTCCTCACTCCACAATACCACGGCTTTTATACTCTTGCCACTATTCGATTCTCTGTCCCTTTCTCTCTTGAGCGACCGGACCTCACTCAACGCCAACGCCACTCTTTAAGAGAGCTGGCAATGCCGCCGCGCTACGAATACAGCAGCAAGGAATACCTGGAATCCATGTCTTACCAGGAACCAATGTCGCAGCTGCGTATATTCAGCGACAACCAAAAGTGAGCGCCAAAAATCGTTAGCGTTCATGGAATTTAAACTCTTCTGAGAACTGCGACATATATCTTAATGTTTCAGCATACATTTTGTTCACGCCAGAAAGGCGCTTAATTTCGGGATGCAGTGTGATCCCGTACGCTCTCCTTTTCTCTCCCTCTTCCTCCGGACTTCCAGTCCTAGAGCTTCTAATCCGCTCTCCCTAGCTTTAGTTTTTTCTGTGTATTCAGTACCAATTTACCTTCTACAATAAACAGATCGACGCACGTCGCGTAACACCCCGAAAAGTCGTACGTGTTCTTATTTCGAGTGCATTTCAGCATAAAGCCGCCCCCCTCCAACACATTTCATATTTGTTGTCAAATTCAAATCACCCGCAGCAGTGAAATGAATTGCATATATAAATAAATAAAATAAATGAAAATAAAAGATAAGAATAAGATTTGTATATGGTTGCATTTACCTTTACAAAAAAATTATTTATATATATATATTCGAATACATACAAGTGAATGGTAATGGTGCCTGCATACCCAATCGTCGGTAGGGTATGCAGGCACCATCCGCTTGCATAACAACAATAAGTCCGCGCGCACACTGGCAGCGGAATGCGGAGCTGACGGCTGAGCTTATAAGCGAGCTTATCCGCTCTCTGAAACAAACGTACTGGTTGTATGAGAGCGCGCACACCGAGAGCGGAGCTGAAAGCTGATAAGCTCAGTTTGATCAACCAAACATGTTTGATTTTTTCAGCAGCTGACCCGAGCTGATTTTTTAGACTATTCTTTAAAAAATTTCCCTGATGAGCGCTTCAGTCATGGAAATTTAAATTTTTTACCAGTTATTAAGAAAAGTAATTTTTTTAATATTTATTAAAATAAAAATTTTGTCAACTTTCCGAGATACAGGGTGCCGAAGTACACTAAAAAAACTGTACATTGTCAACAACATTCTGGCGAACTGGGAGGACCGATTTCGAAAATTTAAATGCCATGATGATTTAAATAAATAGGTTATCGCATTAATTAGCATATTTTAAAAATATTAAAGAATTAAAAAAGGTTTTTTAAAGACATATTGCTTGGAAAACAATTTCTCTTAACAATTCAGCGTCCGCTTCAGGTTTCGGTGTGCGCGGCTTCAAAAAGCTCAGCTCGCTGATAATCTCTCCGCGGATAAGCTCGCTTATAAGCTCAGCTCCGCTTTCCGCTGCTAGTGTTCGCGTGGCCTAACAGCTGATTTGATTCCTCAACCCCATAAGAGCAGTCGGTGTGACACCGACTGCAATATGCTCTGTTCCTATCTCAGTAGATGGATTTTTATTTATTCGAATGCATACATATATGCAAATCATTTCACTGCTGCCAGTGATTTGAATTTGTAGACAAATATGAAATGTATGCTGAAACATTAAGAAATATATTATTATTAATATGAAATGTATGAATAAATAATTTGAAATGTATGCTAAAACATTAAGAAATATTTTATTATTACTTTTTTTTTTAATGATTTTTTGGTGCAAAAGTAAGAAATATATTATAACATATAACATTATTATTTTTACAATTAACTCAATAGTGAATATGCCCATATTGTAAGTGTACCCAGCGCGAAAAGTAGCAAAAGACCAAATATTCTTGCCGTGTACGTGAATGCATGAACACGCATAAATATAAAGAAGAGTTCAAGCGCAGAGCAACCTTCTCAACATGCGCCACCCTGCGACTGAACTCTCGCAACCAATGTGCGAGCATAAGAATGAGAGAGCGAAAACCCGAGCGCACACGAAGCTACGGGGCCTGTCGCTTCGGGCGTACACGAAGTCTCTGGGGCCTGTGGCTAAAAAATTTTTGGTTCCATTTTCGTTGTACGAAATGACCAGTCTATATGCTGTATGGTTAGTGGCTTAAGTTAGCTTGAAATGTATAAGGCTAATTTTAATATTTTACAGAATAAAACGCTCGCTCACGTGCTCTACAGCCACGGCTTAGGCCCTTGAAGTTAAACTCTCTACTCTCTCGGACCTACTTGTGTGGGGGAGTCGTTAAAGGCAACTGCACATGAAGCAAGACAATTTATTTAAAAAAAATGGTATTCATTGAAAAAAAAATCTCTCAATCTCAGCTGTTTACTCTCTTGATGTGGCAACGCCTTCCAATTTTTGCAGGTATAATTTTTGTTAAGTCAGTACCCGCCAAAACGACTAGTAAAAGAGTTCTTCGTTTGAGCGCAGCGTTTTTATATATGGATTTTATACGGTCTTCCCACACAGCGCATCTGTGAGGAACGTTTGGGATTTTTGGCAGATGCGAAACTCGTG